AACCTGAATCCCGAGCTGCAGCAGGGATATCGCATCTTGCGTGAGTTTCTCATGGAGAAGTACCGACCTCTGACAGCACCGTTTTTGAAGCCCCTCGCGGATCAGGCATCCATCAGTGAAGAAAGAGCTGGCTCCCTCTCGGGCCATAACAGCAATCACTCCTTTCAGCAGTCGCCAGCTGGAATGTGGCTCTTGAAGATGGAAGAGAAATTTTCCAATGGCCAGTATGGAGGGATAGCAGATTTCGTGGGTGACTTCCGGCTAATGCTGGAGACATGTTACCGATTGTATGGTATAGATCACTGGCTCTCCAAACAGGCCCAGAAGCTGGAGATGATGCTGGAACAGAAGCTGGCGCTACTGTCCCGGTAGGTGTAGAAAACTCTGTAGGGGCCCTGCGAGATGCGGCTTATATAAAATAGAACAGAGGGGTGCGTTCCGTTGTGTAAAAAATACCATTTGAATAGATTTTGAAACCCCAGAAAAAAACACTTGAGCTCTCAGTTCTTCCACAGAGAGGAACGTTTCCTGCTGGGAGCTGTTAAAATCTTAATTCCAAATGCTTTGGTGCTTCCAAACCTGAAAATACCAGAATGTAAAGTAGGGCACGGCAGTTCCTGGCTAAGGTTTTCCTTATGAAGGAAGCGTTTTCTGAGCGTGGAGGTCCACTTGTTTAGACAAGATGTCAAATACTCCTTTATTTTATGCTATCAGGAGCAAATTAAATTACCCAAACTTTGTATGAGCACCTGCCTCTTTGCAATTTTGCTTTTTATCTGTAAAAATTTACTGTTTTTAAAATAAGTAGGAGCAAAATCTTGAGCTGAAGCACCTTCTTTAAAATGGCATAATTTTTGATAGTCATAAAATGAAAGGTAATACTTGGCATATGTGTGTTAAGTGGCAAGATGGGAATTGTGATGTGTTTAAATATAAGTCCATAGTGGGAACTTGTTTATCAGCCAGAGCAGCTGAAGAATAGAAAGCTGCCAGGCTGCATAGTAGAAAGCCCAGTTTAGATCACAACTGAAATACATGCTTTCTCCTGAGTTTGAGATTGGCTTAGTTTAGTCATAATCAGAAAACCGTGTGAGCTTGTTAGAGTGAAAGGTCCACCCGTCTTCTGAGAGACATGGTATTTTCTGTGTAAAAACCAAGAGTTTTTTGGCAAAGGCTGAAGGTGAAGAAGCAACATTGTTAGGAAACATGTAAAGCTGTACATGTCTATCAACCTTAACTTGCTAGATGCCAGCTGGTGAGAAGAGCCTTGTTTGTGTAGTGGGAACACCTGAGTGTGGTGCAGAACTCAACTGAATAAGCTGGAGTGAGAGTGTTCTGTGTTGGAGTAGCAACACTATATTTGAAACTCCCTTTGCATAGCAACAGTTCTGTGACAAGTTTGGAATAGAAGGGAAGGAGCTGAATCTGGAGTGGCATAAGTGTTGCTAACTTGCTTGAGCAAAACTTGATTTTAAAGAAATTAATCAGAATTCCTGGCTTAAACGAGTTACTGCTGGCCAATAAATAGATAACCAAATGCAGTTTGGAAGAGTTGTGCCAAGTTAATTTCTGTATGTTTTGTGACTCTAATACCTCAGCTGTATTGGATTAAAGGACCTTTTGTTGAAGGCTCTTAGTTGGATAATGTGACTACTGAGTGGATTTGGTAGGACCTGAGAATGTTCAACGCCTTTTTATTATGAACTTCACAAGAAAGTAACATCAGTTCATATACTGCATGATTCAATAGCAATGTATGTATTTGCTGAAAAAAAAACACCTCAGTTGCAGTTGTCATTGTTCCGCAAATGCACAGTCTTTGTTCAAAGGAATACTAAGAAATATTAAACTGGCTGAAAATTATCCTACCTCAATATATAGTGAATTTTTCTTACATTAACTTTTCAGAGATTTGTAAAAAAATTTCAGTATGTCTCTGTATATTAGCTTGGTGAAAGTTTCTAAGAACTGTATATAGAAAGGACTGTGGAGTCTGGAAATCTTGAAGTTCTTTTAAAGTTCTTGATCAGACAGACATAAGTGTTTAACAGCTGAATTTGTTAATAGAATTAAATTCAGGAACTGCTTCTTCAAATAGTCATTCTTCCTTCATTGCAAAAAAGGTCAATGATCCTCGTCAAGTGACTTGAGGAAAGCAGTTAGTGTTGGTTGTATGATTCCCAGGTATTACAAACCAGAGAAAATTACTCTAGAACCAAAGTTACTTTGAGTAGAGGTTGGATTTTAAAAGTTAGTTTCTTGTCTCAGGTCTTGTTGGAAGTATTTTCTTTCCAAGTATTTATTAATTAATATGGGAAGTTAAATCTCTCAATAATATTTGGTTACTTGAGATGAATATCCACAGATGTGAAAGCATAGTTCATTGTAGCACATTGGTTTTAGCATTAAAATTTGTAAAGCAACTTTGAAAGTGGAAAAATTGAGAGGTGAAAAATAACTGTTTTTTCTGAATAAATATGCCTGATCTGTGGTGTGTAGTATATTAAAGTGTCGCTAGTAATGAAAATTGTAGTTGTGAATTGGCTTGCATTTTTCTCCTAGGCATTTAAGAGAAAAAACCTCAATAGCTGTAACATCTAGAGGATGCCATGGGCTGGAAGATGAGAAAGGAACAGCATGCGTTTCAACCAGACGTCGTTCCACAACTCGCCATTTAGTATGCTTGTCAACAGGCATGTTTGAGTCTGTGGTGGTTCAGGCTCTAAGACAAGAGGAACAGCTGAAAGCAAAAGAGGAAAAGAGGTAATAGGAAAAAAACATTTTGTTTTAGTTTTAAATAATTTTGTCTTTTTGGTTCTCTACAGGGTTAGCTTCTTGAGGCTTTTTTTAGGTAAATAAATGAGGTCCTTGTCTTATCTTCATTCATGAATCTAGGACTTCAATACAGTGCACCCACAAAGCAAGAAAACTGTTTTTAGCACTTTTTCAAGAAGGTGTTAAATAGAAGTCATATAAACTAAAATAAATCAAGGCTGCTGTTACCTTAGGATTGTGAACCTTTTAATAGTAACTGGAAGTATCCATAGTAATTTCCTGTTAGCTAAGTCACAGTGTATAATACCTCTTATTGTAAGATTGAAAGTACCAGAATGCTTAACTACAGTCTAGTTCTGTAATGTTGTCACTGCATCTCTTGCTGATAGCCAAAAGCAGATTATCTCTGCCAGTACCACTCCAGTTACCTTACTGATGTGGCATTTCAGCTTGACAGTTAGGTAACAAATTTAGAATCTGTATGGAGTTAACTGTGGGATTTTGTGCTTTTCATATATTTCAGAGGTATATCATTCCAGAGAGTGTTCAATATTGATCGTATTACGTTTCACATTGAGAAAAATGAAGCTTGTAAACTTGTATACTTTAACAGTAACTTGAGAGACTGTGTCTGAACATGGAGCATGATGATAAGACAGTATTAGCTTTAGGAAGCAAAATATTTCCTGATTGTTTTCAAATTTTATGGTTGGAGATTTTTCCCTTGTATAGCCAGTTCACTGTTGTTTTGCAGGTCACCTTACTTTCCCATAAATTTGGAGCCATACAGTTTTGGCTGAGTTGAGTGTTAGCCACTACTGTTGTAGAAATTAGTGAACTTTTCTTCTCCTAATCTACCTCATCTTTGGCAAAAAAAAAGATCACTAGGGTTATTGTTTCTGTGGTAAATTCTCTTGATTTGCCAGTCTGCATTCTAGATCTCTGAACTTGATAACAATGTTACAAGAAAGGAAATTTTGATTGGGTTTTAATACATGGGGTCAGTAGAATATATTACCTGATTAAATAGAGATTTTGCTTTTATACACCTGTTCTAAGCATGTTCTGCAAACCTGTAGTAATTAACAGTTAAAGCAATGTACCTGTATATACTCAAATGTCCCAGATCCTGTGCAAAGGACACTCCATGGCAATTGATTCTACAGAATGTTCTACAATAACAGAAAAAGATCACAACCAGTGATCTCTTGATACTTAATAGGAAACAATAAAGGTGTCATGCTGCTTGAATATTTCTTTGACTCTGTTGGTCTCAATCATGCTTCAGATATCTTATTTTCTAATGGATCCATCATGTTTTCAAAGTAACTTGGAACTCTGAATGCCAATTCTTTCCCAAGTCACCAAAAGGCAAATGTTCCTCAGGTACTTGGTAGAGGTATTTTATGAAAAAGTCTTGGAAATCAGAAAACCTATAAATTTAGTAATACATTACCAGTGAAGAGCATATGATAAAGTATCTATAAATTTTCCAAGTGTTTTATGTAGAAATGCTACTTGAAACATTTAAGATGGAGAACAATTTTAATAAATAAATGTATTAAAAATTATTTTGAATTATTGCTAAAATAAATATGATGTTGAATATATAGTTATGTTAAGAAGAGGAAATTATTATTCAGCTGTTTTTTTTTTTTTTAGAAATTTGGCATGTTGGGTTTGGCACAGAACTGATATTTTCAGAACTATATGCAGGATTGCAGACTCAGGTAGTTTAATTGGTGTGCACCATACCATCCTTTGTTAATGTCATGTCAGTATTCCTTAGAGCTACAGCTTTGGTTCATCGGTAAATACTTGTTTTCATTACTGAACTTGGCTTTCACTCCTAATATTTTTGAAATAAAAATGAAGTTTGCTAAACTGAAATTGCATTTATATCTGTTTAAATCTGCTACTGAATCTTTAAGGAATATTCAAGTAAAACAGGTGATTCTGGACAGTTATCCACATACTTAACAGGCCCCAAAATGTTACTGCAGAATTCCTATTTATTTTAATGTATCCCAGTAGAATTCATGTTATAAACTATATTCTTATAGGTTAAGTGCTATGTTAGTGGATATGGATTATTTTGTTTATTATTATTATTATTTATTGTTTCGCTTAGTTTTTCATCACTGTTGTAAAAGAATGAGTTTCCAAATCCGTTGCTATAAAACAGATGGTCCTGTGTCGGAGTATAACTATGAGTGCCTGTGATGGCCAGCTTAAATGAGTGGGTAAACTCCTAAGGATTTTAATTTCTTCTGTACTGAACATTGTGTTCCTTCTGGTCTTGCTCTCCTGCTGTTCTTCCCCATAAATTTTGTATAATATGGTAGTGTAATTTGAGTGCTGGCAAATAATTTGTTTGTTGATAGGTAGCACCTGCTGTTCACCAAACTTGCAGATGAGTTATCAGGAGCATTAAAAAGCACTCACTTTTTGACCATCCATCTAACCATGCAACATATATGTGCTTTAGTTCAGACTGTTTAGCCGCTTCACTAGGAGTTACATATTTTCAGCCCCAGATAAATAAGGGTGCAAATGTAAGTGTCTTTCTACAGAACTCAGCCTCGTACCTAAAGAAATTGTTTGTTTAACTCCAAGTTAATATTTAATCCTGTGCTTTAGATATTTACATACTCATGTAAGGCACAGGCATCTTACGATGTAGTAAATTTAATCTTTAAAATAGTTTTCTTGGTTTTTTTTCCAAAATCCTTGAAATTGGTTTTTCAACTGTGTATTTTGAAGAATATCCTGAAGACTGTTTTTTATCATCTTTTCTGTAGTTAACTCCATGGAAATCCTACTGCAAATCCTTTCATTATTTTTGTTGCTTAGGTGTCCTTTGTAGAGGGTTCTCTTTTTCTTTCTTGTAGTTTATTAATAACTTGCAGAGTTTATTTCATGTTTTATTTAATATTTTTTACCTTCTCAGTTATGCATTAATTGTAGTAGACTTAACATGTAAAAAATGAGAAACTTTCTTGGCAAAACTGGTTTCACTATTTTGTAGCTAATAGTTTCTGTGCAGTACCAAAAGCACTTTTCACCCCCACAAGTATAAATTTAAAACAATGTCAAATTTACTGTACTTGTCAGTCTTGTTTATAAGCTTTAAGCTTTCCTTTTGTTCAGTTGTTCTAATTATCAGAATATGGATTATGAGTTACGTTTCCATCAGGTTCTGCTCAGCTTGTTGGTTACATGCTAATGAAGTAGCGTATCAATATGTGTACTAACTTACGTATTAGTTACATTAAATATTTTTTTAATTACTATGTAATTGAAAGTATTTGCCTGTTTAGAGGCATTTAAGCACCTAAATGTAGAGGTAGATTCCTACAGAAATTTTTAAACCACCAGTGAATGACAGGTAGTTATCTGGTTGATTACAATGGTAATTAAGTGTCTGTACAACTTGTTTTTTTTAAAAAAAAAATTATTCTAGGCAGCACGATGTTGTTACCATTTCAGAAAACATCATTCTGGGATAAGTTTCATAATTCAATTCCGGTTGCAAGTTAGTAATTTAAATTAGCAAATTATGGAATGAGATACACTTATACATCAGTTCTGCCCTTTATGAGGATATTGTGAGCATGGAATGAACTGGGTCTTGTACAGTATGTCAGATAGCCTATATAGACCATAGAATATGTCATAATGTAAGACATTACAGATGAAGACTTAAGGTCACATGGACATCTCTGAATGTAATTTGTTTTGCCTATTACATCTTGATTATTTTAGAATAATGTGCTATATTGCTATTTTGTATGTAGCTTTTTAGTGGTTTTTTTTAAAAGAAACTTTGTAAAAACAAGTTATTGTAGAATTGAAACAGTTGTCTGTAGCTTGTCATTAGCATTCCACTGCGTTACCTTTTACCGGTGAAAACATCTAAGTAGGTTAGAAGTGGTAACTGGGAGGCAAAAAGCACAATGTAGTCTCTGCTTCCTCTCTCCTTCAACTGACAAGGAATTAGCTGGTGAGATTTTTCTGCTGTCTTAAGGGAGAAAATGATAAGAAAAGTGAAGAGTTATGTCCAGACTGTGGTTTAGTTGATATCTCTATTTGGGGAGCATGTCTGGCAAGTTTTAAGGTCAGTTGCTTTAGTTTTATCCACTCGAGAACTGCAAAAGAACTGCTGCAGACATGTACTAGGAATGTGTTTCTCCTTTGTTAGCCTGGAAATGTCAGCTTGACCTTAGAATAGTTTTGTGTTATTATTGTGAAAGCAATACATGTCTACAAAGATTTTACTGATAAATGTAAATAGAAGTATGAAACATATGGTTTTTTACGGTCACTGTTAGCTCAAAAGCCAAATTTGTTTGTCCAGAGAATTTCTCAGTGTAAGGATATTTGTCTTGCTGAATATCAAATCTTTTTCTCTCTCTCCCTCTCCACCCCTGCTCACTCACCCCACCTCCTCTCCCGCCTTCTTTCTCCTCCATCTCAACAAAAAAACCCTAGGAATAAGCTATGCCCTCAAAAAGATGGGCAGCTACTAGAAAGACCTCAATAATGAAGATATTAAAATGTGCTGGTATTATATTTTCTCTACTGAAAATAGACTTGACTACAGATACTGTGATAAAATGATAGCCTTAAAAAAGAGAAGGCAAACATTTTGCAAAATTTTCATCTTTGTAATAGCATTATGATTGTAATTTTGTGAAGTAAAGTTAGGTGAATCTATGGTATTGTATTTATTTTGAGAAATCTGCCTTAGTTTAAATTAATGATAGTAAGTTGAAACTGCTTGCAAATATGACATTTTTTGGTGATCTACAGCATGTGTGTTTAGGTGATACTGAAATGTGGTTGTTTTTAAAAATGTTCTATCTCATTGTCTGTCTATTCATGTTTAAACTTATTTCCATACTATTTTAAAAGATTTCACACCTTTTGAAGGCAGCAGGTTATTTGGAAATAAGTTTTACAGTTAGGACAGAGGAGGGAGTGGAATTCAGAAGTGCTTTGAAATTTATCATTTTGAACACTTCTTACTATTGTTTCTTCCTCTGCCCCACTTGTGAGGTATTAAATGTTATTTTTTATTATTATTGTTATTAGTTATTTTTATTTATTAATGCAATATTATACATGGAACTAGGACAAAAGTCAACATCTTAAAATTGCTCATTTAACCCCAGCATTGTTGTTGAGTTTATTTATGTTGGTTTATTCACTTAGAATGGCAACTAGGATTTTGTCATTAGACCACATTAGTTATATGTTTAAATTAGTACTGCAAAGTGAGATTTTTCTTTAGACCCCATCCACTGTACAGTTGAATTAATGCTGCATTGTGAAAGTGAAGCTGAGAACTGACCTGTTTGCTTTTTTGATTTTATGTTTTACATGAATCTGTCCTTCTGCATTTGACAACTACATAAGTAACAAGAATGTATGCCTGTGCTAATAAAAAAATCTGTTCCAGTTATGATAACAAGTCACTTGCAATTTTATGTAGTTATGTAAGATGAGGCATTCAGTGGAATCCCATATATATATTGATGTAATTTTGCGTTCTCAGAGGATGCAAACCTTAAATTTGTGGCCATGACAAATTTCTCCTGTGTTGATGCTAAAATGTGGGCTGAGCTATGTTTGTCATATTTTTTATGTTACTGAGATACCTAGTCAATGCTTCAAATACACATTCTTCATTTTAGAAGCCACTATTTAGCTTCATGTTGTCGAAAGAAATATTTTAACATTACCCTTTAGCTGAATTTGGAAAGCATTGTTGCTTTGAATGGATACGTGGCATTTATTTGCTACTTGTGTACAAAGACGTGTAATTGGAGGTTAGCAATCTGGAAATAAGAACATGTAAATTCCAGTAACAGGTTACATTAGTGATACACACAAGTGATTATTTTCTAGCAGATAATTTACCATTGCAACATTAAACATAAATCCCTCCTGTTTCTGGTTACTCTTGATATTCTTGTGATTCAGAGATTCACAGAATCATCATGGTTGGCAAAGACCTCTTAAGATCTGAGGATCTTAAAATCCTCCTGATCCACCCAGGAGGAAAAAGCAGAAAACAATCAAAGAAACAACATTTCAGTAACACCCAGCATGTGCTCTAGAATATGTCCTGAAATGCCATGTCTACAGTTCATGCAGATGTAATTTTTTCATTTTGGAACTAAATTAACATATCCCATGCTTTAGTAAGTTAAATGGTAAGATATGGGTGATTGATTCTTTGAAGTGGAAGCATTTTCTTCCTCTTGAACTTGTTGCCTTTAAGTTTTAACGATGAATTTACAAATGAAAGTAAAAACAAGTTCCCAATCTATCATATTAGTGTGTTATATTGCTGTCATGTTTCCAGTTGCTAGGATTTTGTATGGAGTCCCAGATTTTTCAGAAGTTTTTACAGGCCTCTGATTACTGATAACCTCTTTCTCTGCATACCCACTATTTCTGCTCTATCCTTTTTTTAGATAGGGGGGACCAGAACTGAATACAGTTTTTCAGGTGAGGGTAAACCATTTATTAATGTAATGACGTTTTATTTCTGGTGTTATTTTCCATCACATTTTTCATGCATCCTGATACTGATTTGTTTCCTTTTTGACCACCACTGCAAGCCCACTAGTAACACGCCTATGGGTGGGAGGGAGAATTTATTTTGTATGCGAGTAAAGCACTTACTAGTTAGGCATGTGTACTTGTGTATTGAGGAAGTGACCTGCAAATTAGGTGACACAAGCAAGAGTTATCTGCAGTTTGTTTATATGGATAGTTTGTTGGAAGTACTTAATCCTGCCAACAAGGGATTGGGGAAGGTAATACATTTTAAAAAAACATCTAAACCACCCAAACTGCTGATATCTACCAGGTTTTCTCTTAATCTTTTCCCCTTTTTTAAACTACTTGTGATAGGAATAGAGGACTATAATTTCCCACTTTGATGCAGTGGTGCATTGTGTAATCCCAAGTAAGATAAACTGAATTAAAACTATGTACTGTGTTATTTACTACCTCAAGGTAATTATGTTTGTCATTCTGTAGTTCTGACTTTTTTTAGTCCCTGATTTCTTCTTGGTCACCTGATATCTGAATTTTAATGAATTTTCTTTTCATAGGCTGAGAGAGCAAGAAAGAAAAGAAGCAGAAGAAGCTAGCCAGAAAGAAATAGAAGAATGGGAAAAGTCACTTTTAGCTCAAGCAGCACCTACAAAGATGGAGACAATGTGGGAGATTCCAGCTATTGGTCATTTTCTTTGTTTAGCTCAGCAGATTTTAAATTTACCTGAAATAGTATTCTATGAATTGGAACGTTGTCTTCTGATGCCTCAGTGTAATGCTTTTTTATCTAAAATAATGACTTCTTTGTTAAGTCCTCCTCATCGCAGATCTACATTACATCGCAGGCCTACACTTTCTTACAGGACTTGGGAAGCAGCACTCAGACAGAAAGTAAAACACTGGTATACTGTTGTAGGGCAGACTGATAATCCTAATAGCTCTGCAGAAAAACTTGGATTGTGTCCACAGTTCTTCAAAGTCCTTGGAGAAGTTAGTCCCTTGGAGGAAAAACGATTTCATGAGCTACCATTCTACCAAAAAGTGTGGCTGCTTAAAGGTCTCTGTGATTTTGTGTATGAAACACAAAAGGATGTTCAGGATGCAGTGCTAGGTCAGCCTATCCATGAATGCAGGGAAGTAATTCTTGGTTATGACTACTTGGAGAATGCCTATGTTCATTTTCCACAGTTTTGTGGTGCAGATGTTCGGATTTACAAACAAAAACCGTTTCAGGCTCCTGAATTCCCATCTCCTCCCATCAAAATTAAAAAAGTGTCACGTGTAAAATTGGAGAAAATAAAACATGAATATGTAAACAAAAGCAATGGGGAGGTCAGCTCTGGCAGTAGAGAAGAGCTGGTAACTCGTTCTAAGACAGAAGTAGATAAGAGTATGGACTCTATTGTTACCTGTCCAGAAAAAAAAATGCACATAGATAGCTCCAGAGTGACTACAGAGAAGATGGAAATTAATTGTGAAACAGAGACCTCAGGAGTCTGCAACATCAAAAAACCTGGTTGCTCTAAAGACAACTTGAAGAAGTTGATGAGTTCAGGAGAGACTGTTAGTATAGGTGGTCACCCTCATTCGGGAGAAGTAAGGGTGGTGGAGAATGGACAAGGTTGTGCCTTTGAAATGACCAGAGTAAAAGCTGCAGTTAATCCATTCAAGGAGAACACACTGAAATCTTGCCAAATGCATGTCAATGGCACTCACAATGACAACCAAGACATGAATTACCATGAATCTACTAAAGAAACAATGCTAGAGAGCTCACTTCAAAATAATAAACTATATAAGTTGCGAGCAAAAAAGAAGAAAAAGAAAAAAAAGAAGTTGAAGGATATTCTAAATGAAAATCTACAGCGGAAACTTGATGACTTGCAAAGAAAGCGCGAGTTTCATCTTCATCCATTCAAATCTTATAAATCTGAGATCCAGAATAAGTTATTTATAATTAAAAAGAAAGCAAAACACAAGAAACACAAGTCTGGTAAGTTGAAATTTTAACTTGTAGTGAAAGTTAGGATGCTGGTTTTAAAAAAAAAAAAATTTTCTTAGCTGATTAATCTACATTTTATTTTGTGAAAGCCTCATTGCATTAGACTTTCCTGATGTTAATTTTGGTGTGGAAGTTTCCCATTCAATAACACAACCACATAAAAGTCATGTCAGCTGATTGAACCATGATTCATTTGCAGAATGTATCTTTAGACAACATAGTTCACTTGAAGATTTGCTTACAAAAATATTTAAGAGAAGGAATTTAGTTAGCATCAGAAAACGTGGCCTGTATTACGCTGTTTTATGTCGTAGTGATGTGGAAATATTTCTCTTTATGATAATATTGCCTTACCCAAATTACAAAGAAACACAAAGTAATTATGTGAGATCATGAACCTAAAATAATTCCTGCCTTACAGGAGGGAACAGTCCTGCTTTGACTGCAGGCATGATCATGTTTCTGCTTAGTCCAGCAATCGATACACAAAATTTATGCAGAAGGCATATTTATTAAAGAAGTGGGCAGCATCTAGTTGAGTGTTTCAGGTAGGTGGTACATGATCGAGATCTCAGTTGACTCAGTGGAAAACTTTTTTAAAACACTTAAACAGTCAAGTTACAAAGTCCTTAAGTCTGTTCAAATTGTCAGGTAGTTGTATTATTTTCATCATACCAAGCACCATAAAGCTCTGTTTGCTACCCTCTTGAGTCATGGGCTAAGCAATCTGCTAGAGTTTAGCCGACTGCTGAAAACATGAAATGTTTTGGAGCAACCGGCAACAAATATTTGTGCAGAATATCCAAAGAACTGTCTTGCTATATAAATGATAGAACTCTTCCCTCCAATGCCACACCTAAACATAAATTTTAAGAGTTATAGTTGAAGTTCATGTATGTAGTTTTTAGCAAAAGTAATGTATTTTACATTCACTTTCGTGACTGCTAACTCTCCAAATGTATCATTGTTTTAATTCTTCAAAAGTGGCTTTTTAAGTTAATTGGTACAGATGATATTTGCTGTGATAACCGCTTCTCTTGTATGCGTCATGAAAAAAACAAAAGTGCCCATTTGTCTTAATAGCACATTAGAAGGTTGGGTTTTTTATACAGACATTCTCTTATGTTTTTGAAGATGAGAAGACACAAATTTTAAAGTGCTTTTAGAAGTACTGTCAATACTGGCATGCAAGTTTAAACTTTAAAAAATAAACACATCATGAGCAGCTATCACAGGATGGCCGGTGAAAATCCTCATATTTTTAATTTGTAATTTTTAGACTTTTAATGTTGAAGATTTTTTGGTCTTGAGTAGGTCCTAGGCTAAATCTTGCACTGTTATTGGAAACTGTAATGCTTACTGTAATATATTCAATCACAATACCTAAATACAGACAGTTATTTTTGTTTGAAATTCCTTTATTTTAATTGACACAGTGAAAATTAAGCTCTAAGTGTAATAAACCTAGAATTACAAGAGAACTTTCAGCCAGTTTCCTTTTTGTATCCTGCATCTGATGCATGGATGCTATAGTGAAACCAAAGTCCCTGACTTTTCGTTATTCCTATTATCTGACATATATATTGACCTGTATAACTATTATTTGATCTGCATTTCTTGCAATCAATTTTTTTTGTTTTCTGGAGTGCTAAAAAAAAGTTGGTTTTGTAATATCTTAATACCAAGATTCATCTAATGCTGATCTGATACAGCATTATAATGGAGATTATTTATCCAGTTATCCTTATATGCTTTATGCTGAGTTTCATTGGAATGCGTTTTAGGACCCAAATATGTCTCAAAAGTGTACGATAAAACCAAGCTGGTGTTCCATACCACTAAAAACATGGCAGGGGAAACAGCCATTCTTTCAGTTGTAATTTTTGGTTTTATATAACTGAATATTAAATTCAGCATTAGAATGCCAAATACCTCTGTTTTTCCAGTTCCATGTTACATTGTAGAGCTTAACATTATCAGAGGTAATTTAGTATAGAAAATAATTAATGCATAGTTTCATTAAGAATATGTATCTGTAACTTTAGGAGTAAATGCCATTAATCATCTGGAGTTCAGTTTTGTATATATTTTCATCATCAGAGAACATCACAGATATAGTGCTAACTCCCTCTAGTTGTCAGTTTCAGAGAGGAAGGAAATGTCATTGCAGGTGGAAATCAAAAAATGAGTAACAGAGTTTTCTGTCACGCATTCTGTTGGTGTTAGCACTATTTTGCAACTGAGTGCACGTAGAAATGTCATGTGTGTCTACTCAGTAAGAAATAATGGAAATTCGTCTTCATACATTGAAGCATTTCCCTTCTTACTCTGATTACTTCTTCATTGCAAATTTTGCTTTGCTGGAGAAAATTTTCCTAAAACATTACAGTATTAAAATAACAAGCTTTTCTTTCTATGTTTTAAGTGTTAGTACTGTAGCTGTTAGACTGAAATGGATTGTATTGGATTCATGCTAATGCTGTATTGCTTTGTAATGCTCATAATGTTTAAGGCTAAATAGGATTTCTCAGAGCTCTTCTGAAACTCAGTCATCTGTTTAAAGATAATCTTGTGATGTAGAGCAGAGAAAGAGATTTGCTAAAACTTGTTCTGAATTCACCAAAACCCTGATAATAGTCAGAATCACTCTTTACAATGTAGTTCAAAAGTACAGTGAGTAGAAGAGAGCATCAGGAATGTAAAAGTGGTTAGTACCATTCCTTTCTATTTTTTTAACAAGGTGATTTATTTTTTACTGCTGTTGGTTCTCTAAGGCAGCTAAATATTACTTTGGGTCACAGTTCATGTTTCGATGATTTGCATATTTCTGACTTGCTGCAGCAATAATACACAAAAGATACTGTTCACAAATGTAGACTGATGGTGAAATATTTTTAGCTGGAAACTTTCCAGAACTATTGGGAACAAAACTTACTGGAGAACACAGCCATGTCATGAGTATTGCCACAGTTATGAAGTTTTCTTACAAGTAATGAGAAGGAACATTTAAGAGTTTTATTGAATCTGTGTCTCTGAAACAAGATGGTGGTTATTACTGTGACAATGTTCTGTCACTTTTATTGAAAGGGTAGTACTGAATAGAATGGATTTGTTGGCCTTATATGACACAGTCATATATGTCATTGATGGTTGAGGAACTGATGTCCTCTGCCTGGACTTATGCACAGTGTCCTTCTTCTATATTGAAGAGACGTGGACTTGACAGATGGACCAGTCAGTGGATAAGGAGTTGGCTGGATGTTAGCACTCAAAGAGCTGGGGGAAGGGATGGTGCCCAGTGGGACCTTGATGGGCTGGAGAGGTGGGTCCTTGCAAACTTCATGAGATTCAGTCAGGCCAAGTGCAGGTTCTGCACCTGGATTGGGGTAGTCCCAAGCATAAATACAGATTGGCTGGAGAATGGATTGGGAACAGCCTGAGGAAAGGACTTGGGAGTGTTGGTTGATGAGCAACTCAACAGGCTGCAAGTGTTGGGGTTGTTCAGCCTGGAGAAGGTTCCAGAGAGACCTTATAGTGGCCCTCCAGTACCTGGAGGGGGCCTACAGGAAAGCTGGGGAGGAACTTTTTAAGAGGGCTTGTAGTGGTAGGATGAACGATGATGGTTTCACACTGAAAGACTAGATGTAGATTGATATTAGGAGGAAATTTTTCACTATGAAGGTGGTGAGAAACTGAACCAGGTTGCCTAAAGAAGTTGTGGATTTCCCCTCCTCAGAAGTGTTCAAGATGAGGCTGGATGGTGATTTGAGCAACCTGATCTTGTGGGAGGTGTCCCTGTCCATATAGGGAGCTTGGAACTAGACAATCTGTAAGGTTCTTTCCAACCCAAACTATTCTATGAAATACAGAATTAGAAAGAGTAGTTCTGCAAGCAATTCTCATGCTACACATTCATTTTAAATGTTATTTTATTACTGGAGTTAGATAATTAGGCTATAAATCCTTGAATTAGACTGTGACAGTGGTGATAGCTTGTTGAAGCTAGACTAAGAAAGCAATGCTGAAGTAAAGCATGGAGAACCACAAAGTTTACAGTGCAAGACACAGTTCAAAAGCATGAGAATTATATGGTGGTGTGGCTGAAACAGGGATCGTATGAAATCCAGCACATCCATAGGGTTGAGAAAATAAGAGCAACCAGAGGCTTAAAATAAGTGATGTGTCTGAAGCAGAGAATGTAGCAAGTGTAGGTTGAATCCTTTTTTCCAATTGGTGTAGAAAACACCTTGAGAAGAACCTCAACATGCGTACCCTATACTTGTCCTCTGAAAGATTCCTAGCAATCCACCTGCCTAAAATCTGTTTCACAGTGTCTGTTCTCTATCTAGAGTACAATTACATTTTTTTAATGAAATCAAGCATTGCTCGAATGTGAAGAAATTAATTTAACAGAATGGCAGCAGTTTTGTAATTCCTGGTGTAGTGCTTTGGGAGTTCAATCTTCTATTTTGTCTTCAGTTTTAAGAACTTTGTTGTAGTGTTGTCTAGCGTCTAGCTCTGGAATAGCCCCTTAAACCATCTTGAAAACATGAAATAGGTTATTCTATACAGGTGTAACAATGTATTCAATGCTTTAAGCATTAGTGTCACTATCTTCAGAAACATGTAACTCTGTGGTTTTATTTGGTTACCTACTTGTTACATAAATCAGCATTATTAAGGCTCTTGTTAAGACTTATTTTGCTGTTCTGATTATAGCTAAGCATATGCTGTGTCAGCATGGAGCCTCTGAAAGTCTGTAGTAACACTTCCATCTTCCAGATTATTGCATATGATGTTTTCTAAAAGAGTATAAAGAAAAAACAAGACATGGTCACTAGTTGCCAAATCATAGAATTGCAAAATCATAGAATGGCTAGTGTTGAAAGGGACCTTAAAGATCCTCTAGATCCAAACACCCTGCATGGCCAGGGACACCTCCCACTAGATCAGGTTGCTCAAAGCCCCATCTAGCCTGCCCTTGAACACTT